GAAGCAACTTGCGGGCGTTTTGCAAGTAGAGCCCCTACGATTGCAGGCCCTACGGCCTCCCACCCCTCAAAATCGGCAGACCCTCAAATGACAGAATTCTGACCTAGGTCTTGAAACAAGGCCTGTAGCTGTCACAGAGTGGGAGTTGACAACACCCTCCCCAGAGAGAGGCAACTGTTTGTGGAAGCAATGCGCTTCAGCGTTCGGATGCATAACTTTTCATGTGTCTAAAGAACAACAAAGCACGCCTTTGGAACGATTGCGAGGCCTCGTTTTCCCTGCTTGAGAAGTGCTTTTTCTCACCGGGTTGCAAGGTTGCAGTCAGTAAGCGCGAGAACGCTCTCTTACGGCCTTGGGTTTTTGGATATTGCGCGTGAACGCCGCTTCTGCCACCTTTGGCCTGCCATGTGCATCGTTCTCCCTGCTTCGGGCAGTGCCTTTGCTCACCTGGGATTGCAGCTAGTCAGTGCGAGAACGCTGCTTTTCTTGCGGTCTTGGGTTTGGACTCTGCTCTGCGTTGCTTGGTTACTGCTGCTCTGTCGCTGAGTTTGTTGCTTTTCTTGTACAGTTTGGATGGTTGCTCGCTGAGAGGCTTGTAGAGCACTGCCGGTGCCGAACAGGGTAGTTGACGTAGTACGTAGTTTTCGCTTTTAGCTCTTTACTGTGACCGAGCGCAGCCACTGAGGCCCGCATACGCCAAAAAAAAATGTGCAACAGGTCTACACTTTCGTCGTGCGGATATTGTGGCTACAACAACATTCGTCTCCCGCAGATGGAGTTCGTGGGCTGAACTGGCATGGATGCGCGGTGCTTTGCTTCCCCTATGGATGTGGTCAGTCCAACAGTGCCATTTAAAAAGCTTTCATGAACAAAAAAGAACTGCGGTGGCTTCTTGCCTTCTTTTGCTGTATTGCCTTTTTTTTTTCTGTGTATCGAGCTGAGCGTACTGTTCCAACTCTAAGATGCAATGACTCAGCCGGTCATCGGATGGCCATTTCGGCGAGCCTAACTCACGTTTCTAAAGTGTAATGGCATGTGGTTGCGATTCAGTCTCTCCTTTTGGCAGTCTTTGGTGTTGGTTGCAATCACACACAGCTGCCTTGGACTTCGGTTGCAAACTTGTTGCAAACTCGTGACAGCTGTGCGTTCTACCGCCCAAAGGAGAGACCGACTTTGTGTACCGTGATGAGTTAAGTGAGCTCAGTTTGTTTTACCATCGAGTTTTTTGCTACAACGTGTATGTTGTGCTTTTTATGCTTTGCTCCAGCCACCAAGCTGCTCGAATCGCGTTCAGTTGAAAAGAACACCATCCCGCCCGCCCTATGGTGGGAGCGACTTCAGATTGTACAGCTCTTGTCCATGGACCAACGCCTCAATTTGTTCTTTCCTTGCTGGTTGTTGCGTCTATGGTCAAGTGGCTTTCTCAAGACTCGTGTCCCTCGAAATTTGTGAAACCTTTTGTACCGGAAGCGTGGGTTGCGATCACACACAGCTGCCTTCGACGTCGGTTGCAAACCTGTGCGTTCTACCGCCAAAAGGAGAGACCGACTTTGTGTACCGTGATGCATTAAGTGAATGTGCAGTTGGTAGCAAGACATACGATGTTCAGAACATGCTGATTCCTCAAAATTGAATGGTATCCGGTACATGGTGGCCATGTCGCTGGAAATAATACTATTGGTTGATTGGAGCCACAATTCCGTCGCCACTTCTGTTGCAAGGGTGCACATCAAAGGTTCCGACAGTAAGTGCCATCTCCAATTTACAAGGAAGCTTTTCAAGCATACTGAGCGTTCATGCACGTAAGAAAAATACAAGCGACAGGACAACTGACTGTTGTGTTGTGATGTGATCGGTAACATATCCTCTTCTCCTTATAGTAGCACACTTCCAAGATGTAAAGCAGCCAAACGAAGTTCCACACCGGTTCGTCGTTATGATTGACCAGCTGCCCTTCGAACAGCAGATTGTCGACAACAAATCGGCCCAGCCATGATGAGCACTGCCAAGCCAGGCGAAAAAAACAGTTTGCCTATTCTGCACATTGCTTTTTTATTAGCACTGGAAGGTGCATATTTCTATACCGTCTGCACTATCTTCAGCTTTGCAGGTGTCCTCAGTGTAGATCTTGGATGGGCTCCAGGCAAGAACGAGGCAGGCTTTGTGGCAGGCTGGCTGCAATCAGCCAATGTTTGCGGCCGCATCTTCACGTCTCCAGTGTGGGGCTTGATTGCTAGCCGCTATGGTATCAAGGTGGTGCTTTCTATTACGCTGGCCTCCATGTTGATTGGCTGCAGTCTCTTCGGATTTTGCACGAACCTCATCGCAGCGATGGCTGTTCGCTTCATATTCTTTGGGCTTCTCAATGGCTGGCTGGTTCTGACGGGTCCTTGTGCGGTCGCTGCTGCGGGGCGGGAGCATCAAACAGAGCTTCTTGGATTGATCTTCGCCGCCGGATGCGGTATGCAGCTGATCGGCCCTGCAGTCGGAGGTTGGACATACGGCCTCGTGGAAGACTTCCCAGCCTTGCTGCCCAGCCTCATTGGATGTGCTTTGAGTATTCTTGCTTTGGTCCTTTTCTCAGGGGTCCACCAGACATTCTCACAGGAGCACACCGTTCAGGAGAAGGCACAAGCAGCAGAAGGGGCAGAAGCATCGTTTGCCAAGTCCAAGTCTTTGCTTTTGCAACGGCCTTTGCCTCTGATCTTCCTCATGCGCTTTGCAGGAGGATGTGCGTCGTACACCATGTACGAAGCAGTGCCGTTGTGGCTCATCTCTGACACTGATCTGGGTGGATTCGGAATGACTGAGAAGTCGGTGGGCTCTTTTCTGTGCAGATCGGGCCTGTGGAACATCATCTACTTCACGTGGATATTACCATGGTGTTCCAAGCGGTTTGGAAGTCGCTGCTTCTCTATTGTGACAAGCACCATTGCGATTGTCACTGCTTGCATCTTGCCCTTTTCCATCAACATTCCATCCGCCAATGTCTTGCACCTCATTTGGGCTTCTGCCCTGGTGTCTAACAACGTATTAAATGCTGCCTTCACGAATAATGCAGCACCTCCGGAAGATCGCCTGTTGGCAAATGGTTTCGCAGTGACTGCTGAGACGATTGGGAAAGCCATTGGACCAGTGGCGTCTTCTTCAATCTTTGCTTGGACACTGAGAAAATGTGGATGGCAAGGACACGGCGCTGTTTTTTTTATCCTGGCAGGACTCTCGATAATTCAAATCATTTGTGTGCTTTGTCTTCCCAGCTATGTAGAACCTGCCTGCCAACAGCCGTGGGATAAAGTGCATTCCGAAAGTGGTAGTGCGGTAGGTAAGGAAGCTAGGACCCTGGATGCTTGATTTTTTGGTGGCGACCAGAAGCGCTCGTTCAGACCAAGTTTCACAGGTTTGCACTACTATGACCAAGCTCGTGGGTCATCTGGTACCCCAAGTTTGTCTCGCAAACAAGTAGTCGGGCCCACTTGCGTTGTGGTAGGCTTCATCCATCATGATGCACAAGCGTCTCGAATTCAACATGATGCCCCCAGAGAACCCAATACCCCTTAACTAAGCAACAAAACCTGAGATCATGATATTAGGGACCCTGTAATTTAAGGCTATATTCCTTAATGAAGGGGTATTGGGTTCTCTGGGCCTACGGGCCCCTATTCCCCAGCGGTTCCCAAGCAGCAGGATCCCTTTCCAAAGTGCTCCAAGCCATTCCAGAGCCCACAGCAAGAAAAGAATGGCGACCGTGGCCACAAAGTGTTTATGAGGGGTATTATGATTATAACTACGATCATTCTTGTTGTTGTTGCCGCTGTTACATTATGGTTATTAATACTATACCACAGTTAGTACTGTTTTATTTCAGACCTTCAATCGGCAGCAGTTTGGTGAATCATATGGAGGGTCTCATGAGAACACGGAGAAGCCGCGGTCGGTTTCAGTTTGTGTTAGTCGCCGTCGGTTTTCTTCATCAAATCTTCATCATGTTGATGTTGGGACTGATGACCCTCATCGCCGCCATAGCGTTGAACATATTACCATCATCCTCACTGCCACTGTTGTCATCAGCTTCAGATTACATGACTTTGCAAAAACAGCGATGACGAAGGAGTTGACAAGTATGATGGTGGTCCGGGTGGCGATGATTCTAAGACGACGGCTGCCGTGATGATGCTGATGGTGGCACTGATACTCGGCTCATGAGCTTTTGCATGCGGTTGGGCTGCTCTTGTGGATGGCCCATCGCTTGACCTTCATACCGCGGGTAGGGGTGCTTTGAACTAAACATCGGCAGTCCATGCACTCAGCCGGCTTTGGCTAAAGAAAACATGTCACCTGAGTTTCCGAGAATTCGGGCTTCAGGCAACATTCAACTTGAGGTTACATGGGTGCCGAAAGACTTCTGTCTGTGTCCCTGCCTTATTGCTTGCACAAGTCCCATCATGGTCCAGCTTGGAAGATGCTTAGACCGTGTTGGGCAGTTCACTCTTGTTATGTAGTAGCAAGCAATGCTGAATCCGCTGTCCTGGCAAGGTTTGTTTCAGGCGGCTTGCTTCACAACACCGGGCAGCTTCGGATGGAAACCTTGATGTTAATGGGGCGCAATTTCCGGGGGGGGGGGGGTGGCCGTGGCCGTGAAACCTATGGAGACTTCGTTCTTATCACAGCTGTTCTATTGCATTGCTTTTTAAATTGTTTTCGAGGCCACGCTACTTGTGCGGCTGGCACTGTAATCACACTAATCTGATTCAACAAACTGTTACGCATGGTGGACCAACATCAGGCCTTTCGGCTCTTCACTTCCTATGGGTGAAATTGTCTTGCATCACAGCAACGGGACGGCGACCCAACCTATTGGAGCAGATGTAGGACCTGAGCAAAGCGACACTGAAACAGTTGCCCACAGATTGCGCACTTACGCTCCGTACTTAAAGCCTTAAGTTTGATGTCCCACCAAACGAAGGCTTTACGGTGCGGTCTCTGATGTTGCTTTGAGTGGAGAAGATGGAGATGAAGAACATGCAGCAAGTCGGCAGAACTTGGGTTCAGCTGTCCCCTACAGGTCTTCTGAAGCCCATTGCCGCAAGCCCTTCAACCGGCTGATTGCAAGATGTACTCCTGGTTCTTCTGGTCTTACAGGGGGGGGCTGTAGGATTCCCTGGTGGCACATGCCGTGCTGTTCCACTGAGGTGGCTGAGTAAATGGCAAGGACTACTGTTGATTCCAGTTGATCATGGCAGGCAGTGTTCAAAGCTATATGACGAGTGTGTTATAAGATTGCATGCTGGTGGCCTAACACGGATCTTCCAAGGATCTTGGGTTCATGTGGCTGACGCAGCTGATGCTGCTGCATGGGAGCAGCTTCCCTTTACTGCGAGCCCTGCTCCACAGGAGGCACACGAAGCATGGGAGCCTGGGTGTTAGGGAGGGCTTCCTGCTTGCAACCAGAATGAGTTCATGGACAGAATGTTGCTCGCTTCTCATATGAGAAAGCGGACGGACGAAACGAGCGGACTGTAGCCGACGAACCCATCATCGTCATCGTCGTCATCGTCGNNCATCACCATCACCATCAACATCACCATCAACATCAGCATCAACATCACCATCAACATCACCGTCATCATCATCGTCATCACCATCATCATCATCATCGTCACCATCATCATCATCATCATCATCATCATCATCATCATCGCCAAGACCACCATCACAACCATCACGCTGCCAGCGCCAGCGCCAGCACCAGCAGCAGTACCAGCAGCAGCAGCAGCAGCAGCAGCAGCAGCAGCAGCAGCAGCAGCAGCAGCAGCAGCAGCAGCAGCAACACCAGCACCAGCACCAGCACCAGCACCAGCACCAGCACCAGCACCAGCACCAGCACCAGCACCAGCACCAATAGCACCATCAGCACTACCATTATTACTACCGTTAAATTTTTGGTTTGATTTATTCGTGTTCTTGTTGTGATTATTACTATTGTCATTGTTGTTGTTCCCAGATTTCTAACAATCATTAATGTTGCCATCATCATCATCATCATCATCATCATCATCATCAGCAACACGTGACCCAGGTAGTAAGCTTGCATGTGGCTGTACGAGGACACGAACATATGTATGCACCGGCACACAGGGTAGATGAACGAATCATAAGTTGTAGATGCACCTCCAGATCAGAATCGCAAAAAGTAAGCGCACACAGGTTGTAGAGATAGAGCGGTGTCGGATGTCTTAAGTATGTTTCAGCTTTGCTGGCTCAGCCCTGAAGCCATGGTTTGTTCTGAGTTTGGCAACGGACAAGCCCAAAAAGCCATGCAAAGTATGATGTGCTGTCAGGCTGGAGCTCCGTGCGTGGGCCCCTCCCGTTGAAGCCTTGGAACTTTGCCACACGGCGGACAGTTGTGCTGTCCAGCTCGGAGTTTGAGCTCGGTAGCCGTCGGACGCTTTCGGAGTCCCCTTCCTGCGCTTCGACTCGCGGCCGGGAGGCGAGAAGGGGTGTCTTTGAGGAAAGCTCGCTCAAGAGCCTGCAAGGGAAGGCACGAGGAGGTGAGGAGAGTGAGATCTTGAGGAAAGTTGCACGATAAGTGGTTGAGGGCCAGTCCAAAGCGTCGGCTTTCATCAGCCCTGTGTAGTTGAGGCCTCATATCCCAGTCCCAGCCTAGGAGCGTTCTTCAGAAGCTCCTCTGTCTCTGTGATTGGCGGCCCATCCATGTAAAATCGTTGGTATCATGCAGGCTCCGCGTGCGAGGCAGTAATCGTCTTGTTCAAAGTTGTGCCGGATTTCGGTGTTTTTTCGATATGCGTAGATGCGGATGAGGCACGGTCTTAGACGCAGGCAGTTCTCGGGCGCATGGCTCAGAGGCAGTGGGGAGTTCCTCTGCTGTTCTGCGGATCCGCTGATGCCATCCGGCGCCCGGGATGGGCGAATTCAACGGAGGTCTGCGCACGTCGGACATCATGGGACCCTCAGAGAGTGAGAAACTCCGAGAGCCAGGGCGAAGGTTCAAAGAAGAGCTCAGAATGATCCTGTAAGCCTTATGGTCGCATCCTCTCAGGCCCACGTTGGCCCTTTGCTTCTCTTCTGGACAGTGCAAGCTTACTTTTGTCAGAGCCTTTGAGCCCTCAGGGGCCACGAAGGGCTGCGTGCTTCACAGCAACTCCATGAGAACGCTGCAGCGGCGTCTTACTTCGGTTCTACAGGCTGTTGCTGCCCACACTGTCCGCACCGGCGCCTAAATCTCGCAGCCGACAGTCCTGCCACCCGCAGCCTCGTGTTCCGTGAGGACGTCGCACTGCTCGAAGCTTCCCAGGCTTCTCGGTAATGGCATCACTGCTCTGTGACAGGCGCAGGACTGTGGCACGGCAGGGGGTTCTTTTCTGCCTGGTGCTTTGCCGGAGGAGTTCAGAGTTAGTTCTGGGAGCCACGGTCTGGGAACACATGGGATGATGTGAGCCGTCGTGCAAGACGCAGGAAGTCCTCTCACGTGCTCATGTATTGCTAGGCCAAGAGAGGATGGCTTCAGACCTTTCGCTTCTTCGCCCCTTTGTGCATTCGAGCGAGAGGGAGCCCCGCCCGACACCGTCGAACCGAGATTCCGGTTCACTCCTCAGGAACCGCTTCTCTGGCAATGTTCTCGCTTGGCTTGGAGGGGTCCATTCCATTTCCATCCTTTGGTACTCTGGGCACAGGAAGTTTCAGCTGCACAGCTGCTTTGACTGCTGTTTTCTCGGCATGTTGCATGTCTACACGCGCGGCGTGACCGGACACCACAGCATGTTGAAATCAGCTGGCAAAAGCGATCTCGTCGGCCGCGGCCCCATCTTATCTTGAGTTGCGACCTCGAGTGTGCCGCAGCACCAACCCCATGCGCCTTAACATCTCGGCGGCGATGAAGCTGCACGTGAATCTGAAGATGTCCGGGTGCTCTCTTCGCGGTGACTGGCACTTGCAGCAGCCGGGATTCTCGGGTGAAATCACTGGCGAACTTCGCCAGTCTGCGGGCTGGTGCAGAGGCTCCGCGCCAAACCAAGCTTTACATGTCAGAGTGATGTCGCCTCTGAAGCCTGCGTTTGGATAATGCGCCGAGTCCGCTCAGTTGCCATGCACGCTCGTGACACATCTCCAGGTTATGTCTCTTTGACAAAGCAACAGCATTTTTGAAAGCAACTCTTCGTGGGTGCCAGCCATAGCGCTGACCTTGCCTACTGCAAAGTTGAGGGAGATGGCAAGCCCTCGTTTTGCCGGGTTCCTCTGCACCTGCCACGTCCAAAGCCAAGGGTTCAGGAGGGTGTCGGTGCGGATCGTGCCATAGGGCTTATAGGGCCGGGGCCGGGATGCTTCTCGCTGGG